TACATTCATTCATATAAGTCCCATTTAATACACTGCCACCAGTCTTACCATCATTGTCGATGTCCATTTGTCTGAAGATCTTGTCTGTTCTTTTCTCCGGTGTTGATTCATCCTCGGGCATCTTCATCACTGATGACACCATCTTGTAAATTGCCTGTTAGGGAGGATAGTGGTGATTGTTGTGATGTGCATATTGATCTTTTGGTTGTCCGTGTGAGGCTTTTAGGCATTCACAAATTGCTGCTCTCCGATGACATATTTAATCCATGTACTGTCTCAAAACTCTGACCTTTTGTATGTTACTACCTGATAATGATGCTGATCAGACAGCTAAATCTCCTGCTGTTCAAAGTAAGTCGCCCTCAACAGGCTTACATGACATGTTTACTGGTACATTTTAGAAAAAGGAATGGTCTCTGCTTAGACATGGACATGTTAAGAAAACACAGGGACCACTCTCCAGAAACATGACTTGTGCTTTAATGCTGTCATTCTCCAATTCATTTGTTTTCGCAAACACAACAGGCTGAGCTAATATTGATATGGCCCTATAAGTCACTCGGCTCACTATTTTGGAAGAGTAAATATGGTTGCTGTGATGAGAAAAACAGCAAAGGCAGCCAGCATGCAGGACAGGGGATTAAAAGGTATTGTGAATTTACCTGAGCAAATTACATCTAAACCTGGTAAGAAACAATATAGGGAGAGTTTAAATTATTTCATTCATAATTAGAAATCAGGGGATAAATCCTGAAAAATCGAATAATGCAAAAAAAAGATTGATTGATTCATTAAATACATGTTGTTTTTTAAGTTGCATTCTATTAGTAATTAATCAAATCTTAATTACTTTATTCTGGCCCATTTTTTCCCCTGCAATCTGTTTGTTGACTGAATCCGATTTCACTGCTGCTTTGATTAATCACATAACAATTACACCTATAAATCTCTTTTCCAAAAAGTTTTGGTTTTTCAGCAAGTCAACACGTAATTCAGATGCTCAAACAAAATCCTGATTTTTCAACTAAAACAGTAAAAAAAAAAAAAGATTCTTTCGAAAATAAAGGTTCTCTAAAACAAAACCTGTTGAGTGAAAAAAGTTGTGACAAACACATTTATCTTTTCATTGGCGACTGTAGTAGTGCGACAGGTTCCTCACACACACCCCTGACTCCGATAAGCTATAATTAATAAAGAAGAATTGTTACCTGATCACAGATGACAGAGAACAGAGAGGTATGGAATGAGCCATTAACCACAGTAGATTTTTTTTTTACCTGGACTATCTCCAGCATCTCGGCCCGGCTGATGTACCCGTTCCCATCCAGGTCGTACATGCTAAAGGCCCAGCGCAGCTTCTGCTCCAGCCCGCCGCGGGACGTCACGCTCAGAGCTATGATGAACTCCCTGAAATCAATGGTGGCGTCGCCGTTGGTGTCAAAGGTGCGAAAGACGTGCTCGGCGAACTTGGAGGCGTCGCCGTAGGGGAAGAAGTTGGCGTAGATCTTCTTGAACTCCTCCACGGTCAGGTGGCCGGTGGGGCAGTCCTTCAGGAAGCCGCGGTACCACTCCTGCAGCTCGTGATCGGTGAAGTCTGTGTTTTCTCTCAGGTCGTTCAGCACCTCGGGCCGCAGCTTGCTGTTCTGTTTCCCCATGACGCAGCGCTCAACCGGGCAGGCAGCTAGCCGGGCTGGAGTCTCTACCTTCTCTTCTCACGTCTCTCCTCTCCCTGCGCTTTTTGCTCTCTCCACGTCAGCGGCTGCTCGGCTTCCTCTGCTCCTACGGGGGACCAACAACCCTCATTAATTTCCCTGTGTGAATTTCATAAATCATTCATGGTTTCAATTATTCCTCTGTTTTCGGCACCATTTTGGTGGAAAACTTGTGCCGTAGATTGTTCTCAAACAAGCGGGAGTAAGTTCAGACGGTAAAACTGAAAATAGAAATAGATTTAACAACTCCGATATTATGTTCAAGCTGTGCGTAAATATGTATGTGTGTGCTGTGGGGGGCGTGCCCTGGTCTCCGTGGATACAGTATTACTTCCCTGGCACACAGATAATTCATCGACCCTGCCCTGCGTGGTAGAGGGACAACTGTCCTGGGGCATTGTTATTCTTAATAAAGCCAATTTTCTTAAAGGTCAGGCTGATACTGACTGCTGTTAGTGAGAGGGCCAGACATTCACCTCCACAATAATTCCTCTTCAATGTAACTGACTATAAAAGGGGGGAATTGATCGCAGATTAAAAAGGAAAATAAATTCTGGCAAAAAAAATGTCAATGCAACAATTTATTGCTGTCAATCATTGCTTTGGTTTGTCTAAATTATGTTTCCAAAGAAACATTGTGTTCTATTAAATCATCCTGGTCATGTTTGCAGGGTTTGCTGATGATCAATGTGAATGTACAAAGACCACAAATACACATAAAATATCATTATTAAACTGGATCTCTCCTACAAGCACAAACGTGTATTTGTAAAGAAATATTATTGCACCTGCAGTTAGAACAGAAGGTGTTAATGGTGACACTAACTTATTGCCTTGTTTATTATAATTATAAGCCATCTTACATATAAATTGCTACTTAAGATACTTGAGAAAAAAGGTGTTTTTTCCCTGAAACAGAGAGAAAAGACAAAGAAGACAGATCCCTATGACAAAACTTTACTGTTACATAAACTGAAAAACAAATAACCAAAAAAGCAAGCCACATTTCAGCTTAAATGTGAAAGAAACTTAAAAACTGGACTGTTTTTTACATGTATCTGGTGTGAGTGGGTGGGACATGAAAAGAGAGATGTGTGGGGGTAGGGTGAAGGAAAGAATGGGAAAGTGTGACACATAGAAGAAAAACTATTTCCAGCTAAACGGCATAAGCCTCTTTGCTAATACCAGAGGTTCAATTACACAATAACCTTCCCGAATAACACTTCCACTCCTCTGTGTTACCTTTAATGAATTTATGTGAGGCAGAGATATATTAGATCCAATCGTTCCTCTGTTACTGCCAGCGGAATGATTCTATCTGGCAAAGAAACAGATGAGAGCAATTTGGATGAGGTCCTTTCTGCACGCAGACATCCTCATTTCTTTTAATTGTCACACAAGTGTAATTTCCTGCAGTTTTACAAATCCCAGTCACACAGTGACAAGAAAGAAAGGTTTGACGCACAAAGCCAGCTGGGCTCATGAATGGAGAAGAAAGATAAAACTAGATGTAAAGCATATTAATGTGATCCATCTCTTCTTCCAATTTGGATGTCGTCCCTCTTAGAAGATTTTACTGCTATCTATGAACAAAAGTGATCACTCATACTCTTGAATCATCACTCATTAATTCACACTCCGTTGGGAAACAAAAATGAGCTGTTCAGTGAAAATATTGTGTTATAACAACAAGTTTGAAGCATTTCTGAGTCTCTTCCAGTGGTGCTGGTCACAGCTCGCGCTGATGGATTCAAGTCAGTTAATAAATAAGCTGAATAAACTGACCAGAGGATGGCCCTTGAAAAAGGTTTAAACAAAGCCACTGGTTCCACAGGAAGACTTTTTCCTGGACATCCATCCAAATGTTTGCCTGAGTTTGAACAATGAAGCGTTCTTAAAAAAAAAGAGACAGGTTCCCCTCACACCATACAAAACAACAGCACTCAGCTGGACAATAAGATTTGTGGTGGCTCTTCTAAAGTTAATAAGCAGTGCTGACCTAGTCAGTCTCCATTTCCGAGCCTGCCGTGTCAGTTTATTTTGCGTTATCTGGACTACAGGATAAACAACACACTACCCTGCAGGCATAGTGCTTCCTCTTTAACATGCAACAGGAAGAGGAAGTGACAGCAGCTCCTCAGCTCTGGGCTGGATGGACTTTTCCAGGACAGCAGGAGCAGACGTAAATATGGGCGTTGTGATTTTATCCTCTCAAACACACAAAAGCCACATCACACCCAGCAGAGTGCAAGCTGGGGAAAATGAAACAAACTGCCCTGTTTGAGGAGGCTAAATTAAAACTCAGGTTCCTGGGGGAGATCGTTTGAGCAAAAGACATTGACACTGTCATGTCAAGATTCTACAGATGAGACTTAATTAAAGCGTAACACACTTCCGTAAAGCTGTTGGTTACGCAACTGTAGCTTCTAGTGACCTGCTGCATGTTTAATTAATATTTCCAGATAAGTGTTGCCTGCTTATGCATACTCCCTAGTGGGTGTTTGTGAGTTTCCACAGCTCATGCAGTTCTGCTGTCTTTTTAGCAAGTTGCTTCCTGCACGCTGCAGTCCAAAAACCACTGCCAGATATCAGCATCTGAAAGATAAAATTATCCTCTCCCCGCCCCAGACCCCAGAGCTGCAGAGTTTAAGAATAAGACTAAACGCTGCAAACACAGCTCGATACACAACAGCCCGTCGAGACTACCTTTCCACATTCAGTGTTTGCAATTCCCCTCGATTACACGGCAACGGTCTCTCTGCCTGTCCCCAACCCCCACATCCCACCCTGGTCTGTTTGGTCAACTGTTTCCAGTGGGTTCCCTGCCTAATGAGCCTGTTGCACACGAGCGCTTGGACAGCGTGTGTCCCCCTTCCCCAAAGCTACAGAGGGGCTCTTGTAAACCGCTGACCAGCTTCATTGCTGTTCGTCATTCTTAGCCCACCTCACTTCCTGTGTGAAGCTGTGCAACAACAAAGAAAATTTCTATTTTTTCCCAGATCCTCATTACGTCATGCACAGCAAAAGCGAAAAGATGGAGGCTGTTAGGAAAGAAGAGATGAAGAGGAAGGGGTGATTATATTTCGATGCTTTCCATAATAAAAAGCTCTTTTAACCAACACTTTCTGTTTGGGAGCCTTGTGGTTTAAAGTTCAACATCTCATATTCTTTCAGTGCATAGAATTTCTAAACTCAAAGTTAAAGCCTGCCTCAATGATATTCACAACACTCTCAGATGCATAATTAATTCTTATAAGCAGAGCAGTTTAGGGGTTGGCTTCAGTCCATTTTAGATAGCTAGGGTCAGGAGTGGACAGCCCTTTAATACTGAGCAATGTTATTGACCTGTCCGCAATTAACCTAATTTGTTGTGACCTGGCCCACAAAGACTATAAACTGAATAAACGTCTCTTATTCAGCTAAGCTTTAGTGTTTCAGCCGCTCTGAAATGCACAGGTGGCGACAAATTCAAGCTGAACACATGTTAAAAGCTATTCGATTTGTCATTCTTTAAATCTGAGTTGCATTTGAATCTGCATTTGTGCTGTTGTTGCATATAAGCTTAAATGAACTATAAAAGATTGAATGCACTTTAAATTAAATTCTACAAAAAGGGTATTATTTGGGAGCAATATTTTTTCTCCTTAAGATTCAATTATTTTATTTAGACATTCTCTAGGATCTCATGACATTTTGAAACTTAACAAGTAACAGATTACAGAAAATAATAATCGTCTTGAAAATAATCATGTAGAAGCGACCCTGTCCCCATTCTTGATCTAACTGTCATTACATCCAGTATTTATCCATTATCAATCTGGCATTATCCTGAAAAAAAGTTTTTTCAGCCTGTTTCTTTTTGTTTCAAACATATGACTCAGTGTACATTTCCCATTTTAGCAGGGCACTTAGTGGACGAGTAGAGCGCTGCTGGAGCCTGAAGGGATGCTCACCTCTAGCAAAAGACCGCTTCAGGTGGGTGAGGAGTAAGTCCAGCGTATAAGCAAGAAAATGAGCTCTACAGAAATTGCTGCTTTTGGAGCTGCTTCGTGGTATGAACTCATGTCAGAGGAAAATCATGCAGTGGATCAGGATGAAGTCCCCTGACACACTAGTAGTCAAGGCAACTGGATAGCTGGGCTAAGGCTTATGAGAGCATGGCAGTGTAACTATCAATCTGGGGCACATACGTGGTTAGAGATATATTGAGACTCAAGAAAAACAAAGACGAAATTTTTCGGCATGTATTTGTGTAAAATGTTTGCAGTTCGGTTCAAATGCTGTTTACCCTTAAACAGCCATTATTTACTCTGTTAAAGGCGATCCACTAAGTCTTCTGTATGACCTATAAACATATGCATACAAGTACACATATACGCATGTTTTTCATACACTTTTGTGTGTGAAAAACAGGTTTGTCAATTCCATATGTAGTCTGTTAGACCTAAAAGAAAAGGTTAAGGAAAAAAATGATGGATTAAATTAGGAGACAAAATGGAAAAACCAACACATACCATACATTTTTACTAAGGGGAAAAAACTCCACAAATTCAGAAAAAAGTCTTAGCATGGCTGTTTCTGCTTATTCTTAATTGTAAACTATCAGTCAAACTTTAACAGAAACAAAAATAATGTTCAAGAATGTTATTTTAACATCACAAGTGCTTGTAAATAAGCAGCTTTGTCATACAGTGATATACAGCCCATTGAATAAATAATAGTATAAATACTGTACCCACAACAACGGCCGCACATTTACAGTTATAATATTAATGCAAGTACACAAGCTTTGTGTGAGGTACATTTCTCAAATGTAGCAGTTTTTAAACAGTTTATAATCTACTTTCCAGTGTGAGTGAGGTGTTGGTGAGTCTCGAATGGGTGTAGTCCGTCTAACTCTCTCTTGTCTGTCTGGGAAGAACTGCCTCACCAGCCCAGAGTAACCTCTGAGGCACACTGGACTTTACAGAACCACATAATGTTACACTATGCTCATACCAACGTACCTCTTTCAGGACTCTTTTTAAAGTCTTCCGGCTGGAAAAGTCCCCCACTCTCCCACTTTATGGCTGACTTTACCGTTAACTTACAACAGTCGTGCCTCAAACTGATGAAACTGCAACACGGAAAAAAACAAAGAAATGCCTGAGTCGAAGCTTCTTATTCTTTTTTTAGATAGAAAAAACGTTTCACACGGTTACATTAAATTTATTTTCTCTCTAAGGCTAGGAGTAACATCCGTGCGTCCTGGCTGAAAAGGCTTTATCATTTAGTGGAAGATGTGGCACACAGCTCGGTTTTCATCCGGCTCTGCCAAATTACCACAAAAGGGTGTCCCTTTTCTTTTAAGATGATTTAATATGCTTTGTATGCCTGTTGAAGCATTGCCCACCGATAGCAATACTTATAACAACCGGTGTCAAACAACAGCAAAATTATTATAAATCGAGAAGTCTTTTAGTGCAGCTTTTAGATTTCTCGTTTTTGGATCAAACACTGTGTCCCCCCCGTCTATGCAATGGATCCGTCCACGCTCGCTGCTTCCATCGCAGAAACAGTGGAAAATTATCACTGAGGACTATTATTAGAACAATATCTAAAATAAACGGTTCTATATTTAGGGAAAATCTTGAGATGCACAAACACACCATCAGTTTAGCAAATACACGTGATAAACTACAGAAATAAACTATTACCCCAACAAGCAGAAATGCACACTTGTGGAGCGATCTGAACAAAACATTGTAGCTGGGTTTAATTTTCCATTAATATGTCAATTTGTATAGTTTCCCAGACAGCCTTTTTTCTTCTTAAAGTACTTAGCCGTCAACTATATCGGTTCCAGTGCTTTTTCTAAAGCAACACAGTTTGCAGGATGGTGTGTATGTCAGTATTTTAGTGAGTGGATAAATAATTAACTGTGAGTGTGTGTGTGTTCTCCTGAAGCCTGACACCTGCTTCTGTAAGCACATGGAGTGTTTATCTAGTCCTAAGAATGAGCACAATACTAGGGAGAAGCAGTGATAAAGTAGCCTGAGGTTGCTTTTGTTCTTATGGACGGTTTGAAACTCAATACTGACACACACCTGGTATTGTTGAGGTAATGAAGATGATCAAGTCACCCTTTGAAAAAGTCTTTTTGTCGTATTATCAACCAAACTATACCGCAAAAATAAACAAAACTGACCTTCTTGTGATGTTCCAGCAGATTAAATCATTTCAAATGTACAGCTATTAAAATTAAAATAAAAAACTTTAGAGATTTGCATTTGAATTTAGCATGGAAAAAGTTATTTCCAAGACATTTGCTGTGTTGGAAACTAACAGTTCCCATCATGGATTCAACAAGTGGACAGATGATCCATATAATCCATGTTTACTTGGATAAAATGTTTTTGAGACATCCTGAAAATGTGGAGATGTAGAAGATTTAAACATCCACTAGAGGCCAGTACTAGCTTTTTAATCTGTCTGTGGTCGGGTAGATTCGTGGTAATTTACAGTAGGTAGGTCTCCAATGAAGCTCTAGCTGATTGGTGGGCTTTGTGGGAAGATTCAGGTGGTAGGGGCGTTCAGGGGTCTAGTCCCCTTTCAGCCAATTGTCATGCAGTTCTAGCTGTTCAAACGTTGTGGTGCCATGCAGTGACATCCCTTTTATTGATAGCTTTTATAGTTCTTTGCATATTCTTTTTCTATGCCAGAAATTGAAATAATATTACATAATTGAATCAAGAAATCTGATTCCATGTATATGAAACAGTATACAGATATGTGTAAGTGGATAGTTAACATGAAAAATCATTCAGGTTACGTTTTCTGGCATGTGGCCTGTGAGTCACTGTGAGCTCTGTGAACAATGTTCACTGTAAGCCTGACATCTGCAAGAGCAACTGACCCACAGAACCTCTTCATCATGCAGGGTGGAGCAACCTGTCACTGAGGCTGCTCTGAAATACATACACAGTACATACATGCTCAGGGTGTCAAGCAAAAATATACCAAGAAATCCCATAAAATGTTTGTTATGATTTTTAAAATGATATAAAGACAAACATGGTCTCTTGAAATTCACGTGACTTTCATTTCTACCAAACAGACATTTTGAAACCTATCCATCCAGTGGCTCTACCTGCTTATTCCAAATAGGCTTGTTGGGTTAGGGTTAGGGTTATCTGGCTATCCCAGCTGCCATTGGGCAACTGGGAGTGCACACCCAATATATGCTATGTTAAAACCATGATGTAAGTCATTACATAATTTTATTAGCGCAAATGTTCTAGTCCAGATATGCTTTTCTAAGTGAACGATTGCTTCATTCAGATATACAGACTTTGTGTCCTCCTTCTTTAGAACATATGTACATTTAACCTTCTGCGTAATTTGTTTCAACCAGTTGTCAGATATTGATTTAACTGACTTTACATTAAAGAGAGCAAAGAGCGTTGCTCCTGTTCATAGTCTTTTTGGTAAATATTTATATTACCCATATGCCTGAATTCTAAGTTCAACATGATGAGGTTGCTGGTATGTGACATTTAATCATTTTGAGCATGTGGCACACCTTAATTAGGTTCATTTGATTAATTCATTTTGCGCTTTAATCACACAGTTTTCTGTGGATCTGCATTAAAGCCACATAAGACATAAAACGTGAAGCATTTAAGAAGCTTGGTATGGTTGATTTCCTGGGTTTTGTATGACTGTAGTTTGCTTTCCATCTTGGGTTTGGGATTGAAAATGCAAACATGTGCTTCACTGCACCAGCTCTGGTGGTTACCTCCAAAACCACCTGGATTATTAGATATTCTACTAGAAAGACCAGAGCATTTGGAGTGGAAAGAAGATACACACAGGGAAGAATCCAGCAAAATGCTGAATAAGTTCTTTAGAATTTAACTCGGGTGGTGACTAATAAAGAGAGATGGCTCTATGCTAGTAACTGCTACACAAAACCGATTGTATTGAAGGAAATTTTGAACTGGTAAACATAAAAGACCAAACCTTTACACAGTAAACTGGTGTGACAACAGCATCTTTTGTCAGAACATTGCTTGCTCAGGGAGTATATCAGGAGAATGGGACTCTTCTACTAAAATGAGCTACATTAATTTTTTTTATTTTGTTTTTTGATAAGCATTAGATTTTCCATTGACACTGCATTGAAATAACTTTCCTTTAGGGATTAACAGAAAACTGTTTACTTTCATTGCATGTCTGTTCACCTGTCTGCTCTCTGTCTCTCTCTTTGTCGGCGAAGTTACATAAAAAGGTCAAATGTGCACGGCCATGGTCAGAGCTGTTTGATTTTGTTATGGGTCCAGATCAACTTTTTTTCCCTTTTTTTTCAAGAATGGCCACTTGCCTTGGTAGGGAACACCACTCTTGCATCTCTCCACCTTTTATCTGCCATTTATTTTAACAATGAATAAGAATTGATTGGTTTTACAATGGAAGCTGTGTTAACCTTCTCTCCTGGCAGCTGCAAAGAGTTCAGATAATGTGCGATGTTGTCTTTGTATGGCCTTTATTCGACAGGAATAATGGGAAAAAATGGGAAATAAGGGGGAAAAACAGTAAGGAAGGGTTTCCAAAAAATCATAAATGGTCAGCCAGAAATCCTACAGTTTGTCTTCATTTTCCTATTTTAGATATTTAAGTTATTTAAAAAAAGGGTTTCATTGCGATGTTACAATGTCCAACCAGTCATGCAGAATTCCAACATAACTGGGGCTCCATATCAGTGTATGCAAAATGTGCATATTGCAAAAACACCTAAACAATATAATTCTAAAACATATTTAGGTTTACTGGACATGTTATAAGTGAAAAGACGTAATTAGACTGCAAGCAGTAAAATGATATCTGACGCTGATAAGCTACATAAGATAGAACTTGCAGCCTTCTTATCATTTTTGTTCTACTGCATTTTTTATTGCTCCGTGTTGATAGCGTCTGTGCAGAGAAGACTTTCTTAG